TGAGCTGTTGTTCAGCATCTTAGCTGTGGAGGGCAGTGTCACTGGCCCTCATATGTGGGATCCTAACTGGAGACCTCTGGCATCCCAAGCCAGTTCTTAACCATTGCGCCACTCGACCGGCCCAGTTTTGCATATATATTTTTAAATGCAAGTGGGATTGCACAATTTTTAAAGTTTTTTTGCCATTTGGATTTCATTCTATTTGTGTCCACTCTCCAACTTCTTATTATTGAGCTATTTTTAACAATTGGTTAATAACTTTATTCTTTATACTATATATAAAGCTTAATATAGACTAAGGTTACTATATAAAGTTTAATATAGATTAAGGTTATTACATAAAGTTTAATAACTTTATTCTTTATACTATAAAACTCTTACTGTATTAAAATAATTAGTCCATTTTGTCATGAAATACATTTTCTGCAGTTCATAATTTATCTTTTAACTTTGTTATAATGGATATCGTTATGCTGAAATTGTAAGGATTTATATAATTTATTTTTTTAATGAATCCTGGATTTTGTGTGATTTTTGTGTGACTTTCCCAAGCCAGATTATAAAAATCCATACCTGTGTTCTTGAAAGACTTTTATAGTTTTACTTTGAACTCTTTGATTTATCTGATATTTATTTTAGTATAAAGGATCAAGGTGTGGTCTAGCTTTATTTTTTCCAAATGGTTATAGAGTTACTATAATGCTCTTAACTATTTATTTTATTTCATTTTTTTAAGATTTTATTGGGGAATTGGGGAAGGGGAACAGACAAGTTGCTGTCCTTTTGTTCTTCAGTCTACTTGTGGAGGATGAAGCTTCACTGGCCCGTGTTGGTATTATTATTGCGTTCTTCCTGGGTGAGGCAGTCGCTTGCCAGCCATTGGATGGCCTCTCACAGCAGCTCACAAAAGCTCATGCCTGCTGCCAGCCAGCCCCACTGCAGCCTACGCCTTTGCCGGCGACTCACGGCAGCCCAGCTTCAGGTCAAGCTGTGTTCACCATCTTAACTGTAGAGGGCGCAGCATCACTGGCCCTCATGTGGGATCCGAACCGGGGCCCTGCTGCTCAGAGCTGGCATCCCAAGCCAGCCTAACCAATGTGCCACTCGGCTGGCCCCTATAATGCTCTTAACTATTTAATCCATTTCTCCTTACCGATTTAAAATGCCACTTTCACTATGTAATAAATTTCCATATGTATTTGAGTCTTTTTGTGAAATCTCTTCTTTTCCATTAATCTATGTGTGGGATGTACCAAAATGTTTTAGTGACTGTAGGTTTATAAATATAGTATCTGACAGTGTTAGTCTAAATCTATTATTTTTGCTTTTAGAATTTTCCTACATATCCTAACATTAGTATCATTTGTTGGATTCTAAAAAACAAATGCATGATGGCATTATGACAGAATTCACATTGAATTCATAGGTTAGTTTAAGGAACCCTGACATCCTTATGATACTGAGTCTTCCTATTGAAAAGCAACTTATAGCTGGAAAGTTATTCAAGTCATCTTTTAACTACCTTTGTAGCATTTTAAAGTTTTTGTTTTTTTTATATATTTAGTTCTGAATACTTCTTGTAAAATGCATATCTAAATATCTTTATCTTTTTTGTTGCTACCATAAAGGTGTTCTTCTCTTCCATTATATTGTTGAACTGGTTATTGTTTGCATATAGGAAGCTTACTGATTTTTTAATATCGGTTTTGTGAGTATAATAATTTTACTTGTGATATTTACAGCAATCAAACATTACCTTTGCAAGTCCAGAACCTCATTTGCAATATCTGTTCCGATACTACCAGCACCAAGTACTGTTCCAGCAGACATTCCAGGCACACTGACACAAGACTGTCTGGAGGATTCTAAATAACAACAAAAGGAAAAATTCAACTGAGGACTTTAAAAAAGTATATAACTTTGGTTCATATCCTTCTTTCCATTTAAATATTTATTTCTCTCTTTAAAAGAGATAGACTAGCTGCATCCTAGTTAAAATGTTAGAAATATTCATGCTTGCATTATAAACATAATTCATGATGGTTTGCTTAAGGAAGGGTGATATGAATGAAATGTGTAGAAAATCACTGAGGGTATAATCATGACCTAACCCTTCGGTACAGATAGTTCCTTCTCACTTTGATGTCCACACTAAAGCCAAAGCAATACTACTTTTATTTTCAATATTTCCTAATATTTTTTATTTATACAAGTGATATATTAAAATATTCCTGTGGTGAAAGACTGACACAGATAAGCAAAAACTCCCCCTTAAAGCTTTTCATTAATTTGTCCAACAGATATATTGAGTGCCACAAAGTACAAGGAACTACATATGCATATATGTTAGCTGCTTAGGAGTAGATAAGGGGAATAAAATACCATTCCTACTCATTTTTCTTTTCTTTTTAAGGTTTTATTGGGGAATTGGGGAAGGGGACCAGCCAAGTTGTTGTTCTTCAATCTTCGTTGAGGAGGGCGCCAGTCACCATCTGGCTTCCCGCCAGCAGCTCGTGGCCTCTAAGCTCAAGGTGCTGTGTTCAATCTTAGTTGTGGGTGGGCGTAGTCACCATTCCATGTGGGAGTCGAGCTCAGCAGCCTTGCTAACAGCACACGCTCTATCCACTGAGCCATCTGGGAGGCAGCTTAGCTCAAGGTGCTGAGTTCAGTCTTAGTTGCGGGTGGGCATAGCCCACCATCAAACAGGCAGTCTTGTTGTTACACCAGCTGAGCCATCCTGCCACCTGTTAGCAGCTCAGCAATGGCTCAGCTCGGGCAGCATCACTGGCCCATGTGGGAATCGAACTGGCGGCCCTGTTGCTCAGAGCTTACACTCTTCAGCCAACTCTTAACCAACTGAGCCACTCGGCCTGCCCACACTATTCCTACTCTTAAAGAACCCACAGTCCAGTGGTGAGCCAGTTGAGCAAACAACTAATGGCAATACAATGTAAGATGATAATGGAAGTGTGACCAAAGCACTGTGGGAATTCTGAGGACGATAACTCAACCCATAGAAGTCTTTTCAATTTCACCTTGAAGTTTTTCCCTCTCCAAGACAGAAAAAAATGGTTAATAATAATAACAGTATTATTAGTAATAGTTTTCATCATCTCAAACTAAGCTTACCTTCTAATGATTGAGAGCTGCAAGGAAGTAATGATGCTTCGCCAGTCTCACTATGCCCCCTAGAATTAAGAAACATAAGAGATTTTGGAGTATTTTTTAAGATGAAAGGAATTGTAAAAGTAACTACATTAAGCTCTGTATATTTGATTTGTCAATTCTTGGCCCATTTGTTTTATATGCACATATTGCAAATGTTACAAGAGATCAAGGTGCAAAGTACCTAATGCCTTATGAGCCTATAAAATACATGTTCTCAGAGTGACAAACTCTCAGTTCCTATACTAATGATAAGAAGACAAGGGTTATCGGAATGTGTAACAGGGGGACACTGCTGGAGGTATGAAGCTTTGGGGGCTCTTTTTTTGCTAAATATTGTAGATAAGGAAATAGAACTGGTTTGATGAAACCTTAATTAACAGCAATTAAAATAAAAAACTTACAGAAAAAGAATATTACTTAGAATAGGGCCATGCTAGCATATTGAGCAAATCAGGAAAAGTTGGCTTTTCCTTCAGGCTGACAGCCATAGGCCAGGACTCGGCAAGCAGTGCTTAGGCTGGATTTCCACTCATCACTCCCCCAAGGACTCCTGCACAGTCCCATGTGGTACCCCAGGCTTAGAAGATGTCCATGCAAAAATGAGGAGGGGTACAAAACAATTTCTTATAATGTTATACAGTTTAAAGCCACATCTACATCATTTATGGAAAGGACAAGACAAAGCCATGGAGTGTAGGAAGAAAATGCTTAAATAAATACCTTTACTATCACATTTTATATTGGGCAAAAAGGGCGAACTTTTAGCTCAATTATGAGAAATAATGCCAAAAGACAGTGAATGAATTACTTAATATACATATGTGTGTACGTGTGTGTGTATATACATACATATACATACATACATACATACATACATACAGGAGGTGCCAAAAAAAGTATACACATTTTAAGAAAGGAAAAAAACTATTAAAATTGTAATACTCAATATATACTGATAACAAAAGATGAATACAAGTCATGTGTATGCATTTTTTTGGCACCCCGATATATGTATATATATAAACTCAAGTTATAATATAAAGCCAGAGGATCATACATCTTTAATAATTTAGCAAGATGAGAAAAGGGAAGCAAAGATACTCATTTGAAATTAATAAAAGGTCTTAACAACATAAGAAATTACTTACAAAACTAAAGTGTTGACAGACACAATATATTCCAGTTCTTTGGTCCAAGGATTTGTGAAACTAAACCACTGGCTTTTTAAAGTTACGAAAGAGCCATCTTTCGCTCTGAATTTGTATGAATCTGTAAATATTTTCTCTTTACTCTGTAGAACTTAAGAAGAAAGATAATAATCAGCATAACCGTCCACCACTATATAAATCAAACTTATGGGGATTAATTCAAGTTTCAGATTTCACAGGAATGAGAAATTAAAAGATGATGCTACAATTAAAAAGTACCAAAACCTTACCCCACTCAATGCATACCTACCTGCTTTGTGCTTGTCAGTCAAATTACTATGGTCATCTTGATGAAAATATTCATAGCAAGAAGTTCCCAAAAGTTCCTGAGGCAGATACCCTAAAATTGCTGTTGTCCTGGTTTTAAAATTTAAAATAAACTTCAGAATTGGAGAGCAAATTATGTTCCAGATTACTGTAAGTCCACATGTGGTCAGGATAGTAGGGAAGTGGACCAGGGGGATGAGTAACCCATGTGCCTCACAGACTAAAGCTGCAAAACTGAATGGACACCCAGGCGTGGGGCTACTCAGGGTATACCCACCCAGCCCAGAGTATGCTTTTTCTACCCTTCGCCAATAAAATGGTGGCCACAGACCACGCCATTTCAATATTCCCTGTTGACATTTTGGCTTCAACAAATTAAGTCATATATCCATAGCATTATTTCATTTAAACTTTATTTCCTGTTCTGAAGCCTCAAAAAAAAAAATCCAACAGTGCTAAGCCACATTTTAATAGCCTTAACTATCCCACTGAACTCTAATCATTAAGGCATATAAGTGTTACCTTTGATCCACGTAGACAAATTTTCCATTCATTGCGAAACGGGTTATAAATTCAGTTGGTTTCACTTTAATCTGTCCACTGCTCTGTGGGACAGTATACGGATGTAACCTTCCAATGGCAATAAGGCAGGTAAAATTACTGTCTTTTTTATTGTCCGTTTCCTCTTCCATTCCAAGAATATCTGGAGGCCAGCTTCGCAGGTAACCAGTGCAGTGGATAGTACAAAATTTTCTATGATCTAATAAAAAAAAAAAAAGCATTTATCAATTATATCTCAACAAAACTGGAAAAAAAATGATAACAAATTTTTAAAAAGCATTTGAATCCTTAGGAATAAATTCTTACATTTCTCATATTGACATTTTTAATAGTTATCATGTGCTATGAAATATTCTTTAAATATGTTAAAATATGAAAGGGAAATAGTACTTTATTGAAAAGAAATCATCAGTTGTGTTTACTTAACTTTATTCTTTTTCTATTTTTTATTTTTCAGTTACAGTTGACATCACAACTTTATTCTTAATGGGTTATTTTTCTCAGGAACTAAACTGTATGTACTGCATCCAAAAATAAACAGGTTGCTTTAATTTAGGTTTAAATAGGTCTATAATTATTTAATTTTTCATTAAGTCAATTTAAAAAAATACAGTAATTTATGTCTGCTAGAAAAAGTTAAACTTCATGTTCTTTTGCTCTTAGCTACAAAGGTATTGTTTTCAGTTTATTAAAATTTTGGTATAATTTATATTCATAAATTTAAAGGATAATTATGCATACATTCTTTGATTTCTTATGTCAGCACTTATAATGGTTAACAGATATGTGATTATAGAAACATTTTAGAGAATATTTGGAGAAATTTATAATAAAAGGTATTATAAAAATAAAATTTGACTCAAATTTCATTTTTCAGAAAAATCCCAAGCAATTAACTCATAGGAAAAAGCTTGTCAAACAGGTCCAACCAGAATAATAAAAATTGGAAATAATCCATATGCTCAAACATCAGGAAATGCTTAAGAAATATGAAATGAAACACAGGCATAAAAAATAGGCAGTTTACAGATTATGGCAACACACAAAAGAAGTGACTTAAAGGTTAAAAGGAAGGGAAACAAGGCTATTAAAAATTACTTAAAACAGTTGTTTGCGGTAAGATTTAGAAAAGACCGAAACTATCACTGTTTTAAATCAGCACTATTTGGTAAGCCTGTTATTACAATTCTTTTAAAAACATTTTTTAAAACAAGATGATATGGGTTGTCTTATAAAATAGCAACTAATAGCAACAGCAAAGTTATATAGAACACTCTGTGTGCTACGCTCTGTCTCAAGTGCTCTAAATTTATAATTCACTTAATAGTCCTGTGAGATGTTTTAATATTATTCCCATTGTGTTAGGAATCTGAGAATTAACGCCAAGGTCACAACAGGGAAAGGTGGAGCCAAGGCTTATATCTAGACAGGCTGGCTCCAGAGCTCCCTTTCTGAAACACTAATGCCCTGCTATTTGATGATAGTGAGTGCTCTGTCACAGAAAGTTCAAACAGGAATTGCTTGGAGGGAATGGATACAAAGTGGTGCTCCAGTCAGAGGAGGGAACAGTCAGTGCAAACCAAGAGTCAAGAGAGAGCAGTCAGGGGCCGGCCAAGTGGCGCATTGGTTAAGAGCTGGCTTGGGAAGCCAGAGGGCCCCGGTTCGGATCCCACATATGAGGGCCAGTGACACTGTCCTCTACAGCTAAGATGCTGAACAACAGCTCAACTTGGAGCTGGGTTGCCATGAGTCGCCGGCAACGGCATAGGCTGCAACCCCTTCTGCAGTGGGTTGTCATGGCTACCGTGTGTAGCTAGCAGCCAGCGTGAGCGGCCAGCAGCTGCAGTGAGTGACTGTCCAGAAGCCGGCGACTGATGTGCCTCACCCGGGAAGAGCCCAATGATGGTGCCAACTTGGGCCAGTGAAGCAACGTCCTCCACAACTAGACTGAAGAACAAAACGACAGCAACTTGTCTGTTCCCCTTCCCCCAATTCCCCAGCACTGTTCCCATCCCCCAACTCCCCAATTTAAAAGAAAAAAATCTTTAAAAAGAGAAAGCAGTCAGACGTGGCTGATGCATTGTCTGCGATGGGTAAATGGAGAATAAAGCAGGGAACAGATAAGCCATGCATAGAAACTTGTATTCAATCCCTAAGACCCATCACCCACTTCATGGTCCAAAGGTGCCTTAAATTACAAGTCATTATCTCTTCCAACCCCAAACCAAGTCTTTATCACTTATTCCCTATCCTGTTTAATGGCACTACAATCAACCCAGGTAAGCAGAGCTATCTCCAAAGCCCAAAGAAAGCAGAGAGCAACAGGTATCAGACATTGGAAACCAGGTGGCATGCCCTTGAAGTGGTAAGTGCTGAGAGGATATGTCATGTGGTACTGACAGCAGCTGCCATACTTGCACAAGAAACCAATGAATTTTGGGTGCATTACTGTATTACTGATTATCTTATCAAGATAAACTTAAGAATTGCCTAAGATGTTTGACAGCAGTCTGTCATCAGCTTTTGATTTCACAAGTTGATATATGTGAGTAATTTTATCCCTATCTTAGAAGCTTTTCAAAGTTTGAATCCATGACATCACTGTTAGAATCAGGGTAGAAATAATGTTTTTAATGTCAATCTTGCTTATTTTTAAAAGCATTTTATTATAGAAAATCTCAAACATACACAATATGAGAGAGAACAGTACGTTTGACTCTTGAATAATGAGGGAGTTAGGGGCGCTGACCCCCCCGGCAGTAGAAAATCCGCATGTAACTTTTGACTCCCCCAAAACTTTACTAATAGCCTATTATTGTCTGAAGCCTTATGAATCACAAATAAGTCAATTAATGTATATTTTGTATGTTATATGTATCATGTAGTACATTCCTACAATAAGATAGAACAAAGAAAATGTTAAGAAATCATAAGGAAAATATATTTACAGTATTTATTGAAAAAAATTTGCAAGTAAGTGACGTGCACAGCTCAAACCCATGCTGTTGTGACTCCTGGCTAATCTTGCAAATGGTCTTTCCATAAATTTGAAATTGTTTCAATGAGCATTAAAGGGCTGCTTTCTACTCTCCTTTTAAATTTAAATGTAAATAATGCAAAACTATGGAGACAAGAGATCAGTGGTTGCCAGGGTTGGTGGTGGTGGTGGGGCGGTAAATAGGCGAGCACAGAGGATTTTCAGGGCAGTGAAGATAATCTGTATATATTAATGATGGATGTACAGCATTACATATTTGTCCAAACTCACAAAATATACACCAATAGTGAACCCTAAGGTAAGCTATGTAGTTTGGGTGATTATGATGTATGAATGTACATTTCATCCTTAGTTTAAAAAAATAATAATATTAGGGCTGGCCGAATGGCGCGTTGGTTAAGAGTTGGCTTGGGATGCCAGCTCTGAGCAGCAGGGCCCTGGTTTGGATTCCACATTAGGGCCAGTGACACTGCGCCCTCTACAGCTAAGATGGTGAACAACAGCTCAACCTGGAGCTGGGCTGCCATGAGTGGCCTGAGACAGCGTAGGCTGCAGTGGAGCTGCCGTGGGCTGCTGTAA